CGATCGTATGCGTCTATGATTATTCTTGGCGATCACAAGAGGTTTATACTTCGATATTTATTATACTTCGATATTTATACTTCGATATTTATACTTCGATATTTATTATACTTCGATATTTATACTTTGATATATCACTCGTTCCTTTCTTTATTTTGTATTTATTTTATTTATATTGTCTTTTTTAGCTAAAAAATTTACTTCGAAACATCATCGACTCACATTCGGCAGATATTTAAATGGCAAAATTACAATGACCTCGCCAGTATGATGATGAAGTTCAACACTTCGACCGAATGCACCCTGAAGATGCTCCACAATGGTCATATGTCAAGCAAGAGGATTTTATATATGATACGGAAATCGATAGTAGAAGTGGTTTCGACGAAGATGAAGACTATGGTGAAGAAACGGAAGAGGTGTTAATCGATAGTCAAAAAAGTGCAGCCGGTAATGATTTAGCTAAATGAAGCGGGACTATCGATCACATTTATTTTAAATTTTTTTTTTTCATAAATATTTCTGATAATTAATATATAACGATAATAAATTTAAATCGAATTTTCTATATATAATAATTTTCCGAATTTAGTATGATTTAATTCTTATTTATGTCCGATTTAAGTTTCGAAGTACATCTGATTGACTGTCCGAATTTAGTATGATTTAGTTCTGATTTATGTCCGATTTATGTTCTGAAGTACATCTGATTGGCAGTCAATCGGATAATAATCGGAATATTTTTTTTGTAAAAATCAGACATATTTCAGCCATAATTCGACCTAAAATCAGATATCCGATTTTTAGCCGATTTGCCTTATTTCGACTAGTGTATTGCACGCAAGGTTCTAAAAATGTTTCTTAAATGGGGATAGCCTGCAGACGGGGTTTTGACCTTTATCCGGTTCTTGAACAGTTGATTTCTCTGGCTCTTTTTGACTTGCAGACAGGTATTTATACCTCCAGGATATCTAGTCTTGAATGGACTCCCCTGTAGAACTTTTTTGGACTATCAATTTATTCACTTAGTCTTTGACTAACTTGGTGTTTCTACTTTCCCATTTAATAACACAAGATCAAGTTCAAATGTTTCAGTCTGAAAATGATTCCTTACAAGTTGAAAATAATTCCTTACAAGAAGAAGTTATGACTTTGACAGAGTTTGGAGTTTTACAATCTGGTTTACTCTATCAACAAGAAGAGCTAATCCATCAACAAGAAAAGGAAGCGCAATCCAATAACGAACTGTGGGCTATCGCCAAAGTGGAATGCTGGGAGGCCCAGAAAAAGGTTATTCAACAAGATGAAGAAATTGTTGGCTTAAATGGCGAAGTAAAACAACTAAAAAGGGAGAACAAAAGCGCTATGTATAGTACAAAATATTTTGAAACTAAATATTATCACGTGATGAGTGTTATACAAAAATATGGTATGATTGTTGTTGACGATAGTATGCTCAAGTCTTCTTCACCCATACCTTCATCTTCATCTTCATCTTTTTCCTCTTCTTCTTACGATCAAATATTTGTTGCTGATGGTCCTGATTATATTAATAATGATAATAATAATGATAATAATAATAACGTTGATAATAATATTAGTAATGAACAATAATAATTTTCTTATTTTTAATAAAACTTTTGCACTATTTTCAAACTATAACTATTGGTTTCAATCTTTGCTCGTAATATTTTTTAAGTCTATTTCCATGAATTACATGTTTAATTAATTTTCCGTCTAAATTTCTAAGTTTATAAACATTATCATTAAGCACTTCATGAATAAAATAAGGTCCTATCCACTTATTTTCTAATTTTGCTGAGAAATTATTTTTAAGCCACGTTCGTTCTACTAAGACTTGATCTCCTATTTTCAATTTTTCTGAAATTCCTTGTTGATCATATACTTGTTTTTGCTTCGCTTGTTCTTTTTCAATTCTTAACGAAACATCATTTCGTTCTTCCTCTAATTCAACTATTAATTGATAAATTCGTCTTTGCATTGGGTCTTTTTCATTTTGAGGTATTTGTGATGGAATTTTTAAATCAATTGGTAAAGTTGCTTCTCGTCCATAAGTTAAATAGAATGGTGTTTTTCCTGTAGTATTATGTTTTTTCGTTCGATATGCCAAAAGTACTGCATCGATTAATTGATCCCATTCCTTATTATTATCTTAAACTAATTTTGCAATACATTCACCAATTGTCCAATTAAATCTTTCAACCATTCCATTTGTTTGAGGTCTATAAGCTAAGGTAAGGCGATGCTTAGTTTGATAATTTTCACATAATTCATCAATTAATTTATTCATAAATGATGTTCCTCTATCTGATAAAATTTCTTGTGGAATTCCATGTTTACAAATAATTTCTTCATAAATAAATTTTGCTACTGTTTCTGCTTTAATATTGGATATCGCTCTTGCTTCTGGCCATTTTGTAAAATAATCTATGGCGACAATAATATATCTATTTCCACTACTGGTGATCGGTAATGGTCCTTTAATGTCAATTCCTATCCTGTGAAATGGTCCCTTAACTGGTATTGGTATCAGTTCTTCTCGCCGATTAGTAGGTCCTCTTCTTTGACAATTATCACAAGTTCTTATATATTCTTTTATTACATCTTCTCCTAATTGTGGCCAATAATATCGATCTTTGATTTTTCCAATTATAGCGTCTATTCCTAAATGAGCACCGCTCATATCTGTATGAAAGTGATATAAAACAGGTTCTACTTGTTCACATAGAATTACTTTTCTTATACCATCCTTTGTTTTTCTAAATAAAATATTGTTTTGACAAATATATTGGGTTGAGTTTTTTTGAATTTGGGTTTTCCGTTTATTAGTTATACCATCCATAAAAGTGAGAGTTGTTAAAAATAAGATTAATTCATTATATAGTTGTTCATCCATAATCATTAAGTGAGGTTGAAGGATTGGTGTGATTATTGGTTGAGGTTGAGTCAAGACGAGAGAATGCATCAGCATTCGCATGTTTAGTTCCTTTCTGATATACAATGTCATATTTATATTCTGATAAGACAATCTTCCATCTTTCCAATCTTCTCTGTTGTTGAATTCAACAACCATTTAAGCGCTGCATAGTCAGTGATGATTGTAAATTTACTTCCATAAAGATAATGTCGAAAATATTTAACTGCTCATACAATCGCAAGGCATTCCAATTCTGTGATGGCATAGTTCTTTTCCGCCGGTATTAAAGTTCGACTAGTATAGGCAATCACATGCTCTTGATTATCAGTTTTCTTTGCAAGTACTGCACCTAATCCTATAATTGAAGCATCAGTATATAAAAAGAACGGTTTTGAAAAATCTGGATATTGTACAATCGGTGCTATTGTTAATTTATCTCTTAAATTCTCAAATGCTTTCTGTTGTAAACTCATCCATTCGTAGGGTGTATCCTTTTTTAATAACTTGTACATTGGATCAGCAACTTTAGCAAAATTTTTGATGAAGCGTCGATAATAAGAGAATAATCCTAGGACTCTGCGTAATTCTCTAATATTTTGAGGCTCTGGGTAATTAACCATTTTATTGACTTTTTCTGGATCAGGTTTAACACCTTCTTTTCCTACAACATGTCCTAAAAATTGGATGTTCAGCTGCTGCAAAATGACATTTCTCTGCTTTTAATCTTAGATTCGCTTTACGAATTCTATTAAGAACTTCTTTCAAATGTTGAATATGATCTTTAAAAGTTTTTGAATATATAATGACATCATCAAGATAAACTAAAACGAACTTTTCCTTTATCCTATGTAAAACTTTATCCATAGTTCGCTGAAATGTCACAGGTGCGTTGCAAAGTCCAAAAGGCATGACTTTGAATTCGTATGTCCCAAATTTTGTAATAAAGGCTGTTTTTTCCTGGTCTTCTGCCCTTACTTTTATTTGCCAATACCCTGATGCTAAATCTAAAGTGGTGAACCATTGTGCATCTTGTAGAGAATCTAATAATTCATCAATCCTTGGAAGCGGGTAATTATCCTTTTTTGTAATATTGTTAAGAGATTTATAATTAACGCAAAACTTAAGTTTTCCATTCTTCTTTTTCACTACCATTACTGGAAATGACCAGGGGCTAGTTGAAGGCTCTATTAGCCTTTGTTCTAACATGTCATTAATTTCACTCTCAATAAATTCATTTTCCTTTGGTGCTGTCCTATAAGCTCGCTTTTTGATAGGTGGCACTTCTTCAGTGATAATAATATGTTCCCCTTCTGGAGTTTGTTTTAACTCTTGCAATGATTTAGCAAATAAGTCTTTATTTTTATCTAATAATTGATGAAGTGATTGATATTGATTTTCCTCTAATTCTCCAATCGGAACAACTTTTTCTGGTTCTAATTGAATATTAGATATATTCGAACTTTCTGATTCTTGCATCACGTGGTAAATGTTCCAATCTTCTTGTACTATTTGACAATTATCACAAACTTCTCGATCTTCTAGGGTTTTACATAGGCATTTTCCTGGCCCTTTACTATTAATTACGCCAGTACTATTGTGACTTTGTTGCTTAATATATTCCAAATATCCTGGGTGATATTCTCGATCATTGATTTGAAAAGTACTTTGGGTTATTTCTGTCTTATAAAATGAAACTGCTATGGTGTCTTCTAACTCATCTTCTAATTCTAATTCATCTACTGGGTCAATGACTGTATATTTTGTTGGGTCCAATTTTTGAGAACATGTGACAGGAATTTGTTGTTGGATTTCTTCATATTTAATGGTAATGGTATTCTGTCCATAATCAATGTTTGCATTAACCTTTTTCAACCACTCATTACCAAGCAGAACATTATATTCAGCTGAGTTTGTAACTATCATATTAAAATAAACTTTAATATCCATCATTTGTACTGGAACTTGTTGAACCATTCCCAGTGGTGATGACTTTTGTCCCGTTACATCGATGATTTTAATATTCGTAGGTAATTCAATTCCTTTATTGACTTTATCTAGGAATCTTTTAAAAATAATACAACCTACAGCTCCTGAATCTATTAAGACATTAACAGGCTGTCCATATACAATCGCTTCTCCATACAAAGCTTCTTCGGCTTTTTGATTAAGATATGCTGGTTCTTCTCTAATCAATTGGTTAAGAATATCAGTATAATAATTAATTAGTGTTGGAGTTAATTCATTATGTTTTGCCATAAATTGGAATTGTTCAAAAGAAGTAATTGTCTAAGCTCCTTGTTTTTCAGGTTCAGTTCGCTGTAACTCTTGATAATCAGGTACTTTTGTTATATAAACATCACAATTAAAAGCTGGATCATTAAATAAAAATACACATTCATCTTTTTTAATATCTAGCGCTATTTTTTCTTTTGTTTCTCTAAGCACAGCTTGAAGAGAAGATTCACGATTCTCTACTTTTCCTCCTGCTACTTGCCATAAATTATACATTATTTTATTTTTCTGTAGTCATTT